CCCCCCCCCCCCCCCCCCCCAAGCGCTTCCGCCCTAGGTCCTAGCCGCCTCGTCGCCCCGCGGCCCGAAACCTAGCAACCTCGTGGCCCCGTAACCTAGAGGCCCCGCGGCCCCGTCCCCTAGCGGCCCCGCGGCCCCGTCCCCTAGCGGCCCCGCGGCCCCGCCCCCTAGCGGCCCCGCGGCCCCGTCCCTAGCGGCCCCACGGCCCCGTCACCTTGCAGCCCCGCGGCCCCGTCACCTAGCAGCTCCGCGGCCCCGTCCCCTAACGGCCACGCGGCCCCATCCCTAGCGGCCCCGCGGCCCCGTCACTTAGCGGCCCCGCGGCCCTATCCCGTAGCGGCCCCGCGGCCCCGTCACCTAGCAGCCCCGCGGCCCCGTCCCTAGCGGCCCCGCGGCCCCGTCACCTCGCAGCCCCGCGGCCCCGTCACCTAGCGGCCCCGCGGCCCCGTCCCTAGTGGCCCCGCGGCCCCGTCACTTTGCGGTCCCGTCTCCCTGCCCCCCCCGCCTCTTTGTCGGCCCTGTCGCCTTGCCGCCCGCGGCCCCGTCTTCTAGATGCATCGTAACCGTCCTCGGCTCCTCTGCACCGCGTTGCACCGCCTGGCACCGCTCTGCACCGTACTGCACCGCACAGCACCACACTGCACCGCTCTGCACCGCACTGCACCACACTTCACTGCACCCTACCGTACTGCACCTCCCTCCACCGCACACTACCGCACTGCACCGGACATCACCGCTTTCCGCCGCGCTCTCCTGCCCCGTACTGTCTTTCTCCTATTGCTGCAACCATGATGGCGGACTCGGTCCTGCGTTTTCATGCTTAGGGGCAGCCGATTGAGTTCGACTCGTGGCTCGTCGACCTCCAGCGACACCTGACTGGTCAGCGGCAAGACGGCCACTCCCTGGCCGTCCACATCGACGGTACGATCCCCTGCCTAGACCCCCCTGCCGCCCTCCCCGCTGCTTACAGGCCTGCACATCCCCTCATTCTCAAGAAACCTAATTCGTGTCGGCTGCCTCCAGGACCTTGGCGTCACCACTACGTTCCCTGGGCACGAGCGGTACGCTATCTGTACCGAGGCCGCCACTGGTGCCCCCCTCACCACGTTCCCCTGGGACCCGGTGTCTGGCCTGTTCACGTTGGACACCGCGTCCCCCCCGGTTGGGACGCCTCCCCAGGTACCTACGTCTTCCCAGGTTGCTGCGGCGTGCTCGTGTCGGTCGCTTACTCACCCGTCGCTTCCCTGACTGCCTTGCCACCGCTCGCGATCACTTCCTTAGTCTCCATCCCGCTGACCTCACCCTCACTGACTTTGTCGACACCCTGTCTGCCATAGAGACCCGTCAGTGCTCTATCGCCCAGTCTAGTGGTACCGTGCCAGTCTTTATCTTTCAGGGCTGTGCCCCTGCTAAGTGCTCTTACTACGATGGTTCTGCTGCGGTTGCTGAGACAACTCTAGCTGTGGAGACAGCCACCGCAGTGCAGTTTTGTCCGAGTAAAGGTCGTCGCCCCAAGGCTGTGCGCGGCAGAGGTAGTGGAGGAGGGGGTGGTGCCGGTGGTGGAGGTGGCTCGCTCGCTGGTAGTACTGACGAGGGGGCTGGGGCTGGTACCCCGGAACAGCAGCCCCAGCAGTAGCAGCAGCCTCCACAGCTGGACCAGCAGTAGCAGCAGCAGCAGCAGCAGGCGCAGCTGCAGCAGCAACGGCAAAAGCAGCAGCCGCAGCACCATCAGCGGAGGGTCGGCTGTCTCCCGCTCGGGTGGCCTGGAGCTGGAGGTGACGGTGGTCGCAGTGGTCGCTCGCGTGGCGTGTTGTCGGGTGGTACTCAGAGTGATGGGCGCTGCTAGTACTAACTCCAGACCGGTCCACGCCGCGGCCTCGTGTGCGGTAAGATCGGTCATACCCTCGCTCGTTGCTTTCGTCGCCTAAATGACCTGTTTTGTCTTCGCTTCGGCCCGTCGCCTGTCCTCCATGACTAGCACAGTCTACTCCGTCGTTGTGTTCAGATCTTTGATATGGACATGGATGAGATTAGCTCTGCTTTGTATGCGCTGTATGATGATGACTCTAGTGTGACTAGTTCCTATTACCCTGTGTTGCCTAGCGTAGGTGTGCCAAGTGTGCCTAGTTCAGGCTCCCCTGCTGCGTCAGGCATATGATCCCCTGCCTTGTTGAGCCTAGGGTCCTCACGCGCTCTGTCCCCAGATTTCTGCTCCTGCTGCAGTTGCTCTTGCAGACCCTTCCTCCGGTCCTGTAGTTGCCTGTAGCTCCACTACACTCCCCTGTCCGGCGGTTCCCTCAGGCTCCCTTACAGGCCTGCACATCCCCTCGTTCTCTAGGAACCTAGTTGGTGTCGGCTGCCTCCAGGTCCTTGGCGTCACCACTACGTTACGTGGGGAGAGCGATGCACGGTCTGTACTGAGGCCGCCACTGGTGCCCCCCTCACCACGTTCCCCAGGGACCCGGTGTCTGGCCTGTTCACGCTGGACACCGCGTCCCCCCGGGTTGGGACGTCTCCCCAGGTGTCTGTGTCTTCCCAGGTTGCTGTGGCGTGCTCGTGTCGGTCACTTACTCACCTGTCACTGCTGTGGTACCACCGTCTAGGTCACCCCGCCCTCACCCATCTCCGTCACATGTCCCAGCACCATCTTGTCCTAGGCCTCCCAAAGTCGTTCCCTGCGCTCCCCTCCTAACTTGCACCTCCGTGCATGCCCTGTGTCGAGGGCCGGCTCCGCCGTGCCCCTCACTCCTCCTCGTTCCCCCCCACCTCCGCACCGTTGCAGAGCCTGCACATGGACGTCTGGGGCCTTGCCCTCGTCCATGGGCCGCGTCACGAGCGTTACTTCCTAGTGCTTGTCGACGACTACACCCGCTACACCACCGTCTTTCCCATGGAGCGGAGGGCCGACGTGCCTGACATTCTTCTCCCACAGCTTATCTCTGCGCGTGTTCACCGAGGTCTCCCTGTCTTTCGACTTCACTCCAATTGTGGTAGCGAGTTCGCCTCTGGCTGCCTTGGTCGCTTATGTCGTGCGGAGGGCATCAGCCAGACGTTCACCCTGCCGGACTCCCCGCAACAGAATGGGGCCGCTGAGCGACGCATCGATTTGGTCATGGAGGTGGCTCGTACTTCCATGATCCAAGCCGGTGCACCCCATTTTCTGTGGCCGTTCGCCGTTCGCTACGCCGCTCACCAGCTTGAGCTCTGGCTGCGCCCTCAGCGGTCGCAGGTTTCGCCGACCCTCCTCTGGACCGGGTCCCCTGATGACGCGTCTGCGTTCCATGTCTGGGGGTGCCTTCTACACGTTCATGCCTCTGGCACGGACAAGCTCACTGCCCGCACTGTCCCCTCTGTCTTCCTAGGTTTCCCCCTTGACTCGTCGTACTGGCAGTTCTACCACCCGCCTTCTCACCGGTTCTTTCACTCTTGTGACGTCACTTTGACGAGTCCGTCTCCTTCTACCACTGCTTTTCCCACCATGGTCCCCTGGTCACTCCCCCCCAGTTCCTGGTGCCCCCCTGTCACAGGATCGAATGACTCGAGGATCGATTGCACTATCGATCAGTACAAGGTGCTTTTATACTTCCAGAGTACATCAGGTAACCAGGTTTATCCTATCCAAAGGAATAGACCCTTCTAGAATATAGAATCACCCTGCGTATAGCCGCGCGAGGCCATTGGCTTTAAGGGATTACGGCAGGATTACGCTGGATAATGTGCCAGTACATCCCAAGCCTGGTCGGTGATATAATTATAATAGCAGGATCAACCAAAGGATAATGGAAGAATGGAGAATAGGAAACCAAATGAGATGAGATAAAAAGAAGAATGAAATAGGAAGGAGATAAGAATAGGACAAGTGGTGTAACGGGGTCGTACTCTCACACTTCCCCCCCTCAAAGCTGGGTGGTAGAAGTAACACCCTGCTTGACAAGGTAGTCATGCAGAGGACGACGGGCGTTACCCATGTCGGTTTCAGAGACCCAGCTGTCCTCAGAAGGATCATAGCCCTTCCAACGAATAAGAAGCTCCACGGTGCCATTCCGACGTCGACGATATGCAAGCACGGACTCGACCTCGTACTCGGGTTCGTTCTGGACGAGGACGGGCGGCGGCGGCGGCGGCTGGCGTCCCACGAAGATCGTGTTAGGATCCCGATAGGGCTTCAGAAGTTGGACATGGAAGGCGTTGTGAATCTTTCAGGTAGCTGACAGGCGTAAGCGGAAGGTAACAGGGGTAACCTGTGCTTCAACAAGGAAAGGTCCGCAGAAGCGAGGTCGAAGTTTAGATGGGAGGTGGCTGATGTCCAGGTTGCGGGTGTCGAGGAGCACCTGGTCTCCCACGGAAATGGTGTGGTCGTTGCGATGGCGATCGGCCTGGCGCTTCTGTTGCTGTTGAATGTCAAGGAGGCGCTTATGGGTCCGATCCCACAGTTGATGCATGGTTGTGATGAAGTCGTGTGCAGGTTGGACTGTTGCTCATGTTGTCGGTTTCTGTGGTGTGAGTGGGTGGCGTCCGTAGCAGAGGAAGAACGGCGTCTGTCCAGTAGCGGCATGTGTGGCGTTGTTGTAAGCAAACTCCAGAACGGGCAGGTGCAAGTCCCATTTGGAGATCTCGTCCTTGCAGGCTGCTCGGAGGAGTTGCTCCACAAGCTGGTTAAGGCGCTCGGTCTGTCCGTCTGTCTGCGGATGGTATGCGGATGACATGGCGAGTTTGGTGCCGAGCAGAGACATGAGTTCCTTCCAGAACTTGCTGGTGAACTTGGGGTCTCGGTCGGAGATGAGTGTAGTTGGAATGCCATGCTGGGAGATGATGTAGCGAACGAAGAGTTGTGCTGTCTCCTCGGTGCGTGCAGTCGTGTGTGTCGGGATGAAGTGTCCCATCTTAGAGAATTTGTCGATGACGACAAGAATTGCGTCATGACCGCTAGTGGTAGGTGGTAACCCGGTGATGAAATCCAGGCTAACCACTTGCCATGGCTATCTGGGATAGGAAGAGGCTGTAGCAGTCCTGCTTTTTTCTGCTTACTGCTCTTCATCCGTTGACATGTATCACACGAGGTGACGAATTTCTGAACATCATCTGCCAAGTGAGGCCAGTAGTAGTGTTTTGCGATACCGGTCAGCGTCTTGTTGCTACCGAAGTGTCCGGCGTAGAGGACGTCGTGGTATTCTTCGAGTAGTAAATGGCGTAAAGGAGGGTAATTGGGTACCCAGATTTTCGTTGATCCTTTCCGGTACGCAATGTCGTTGCCCCACTATAGTAGATGTCGTTTTTATGCCAAGGGAATTTCGGGGTCGATGGTATACCCGTGTGTGAAGAGTCCCTTGAGTAGTAGATTCATCCCTTCGGCTTGAATAGCAGCAACGTGTGCAGGCCGGCTGAGGGCGTCTGCTTTGTTTTTGTGGCCGGGCTTGTACACGATGTCGTAGTGGAAGTGTGTCTCGAGGAAGTCAATCCACCGGACCTGCCGCCTGGAAAGGGTTGGTTGTGTCTTCAGATATTTCAGACTGCAGTGGTCGGTGTAGACTGTTGTTTGTCGTCCTTCGAGATAACATCTCCATGCTTTGAAGGCGATGACAATAGCAAGAGCCTCTTTGTCGTGTATCGGGTAGTTGAGTTCTGCCCCGTGCAGTTCCTTGCTGAGGTAGGCAATTGGTTGCAGTCCATTCCCCTGGTCTTGCATCAAGACTGCTCCCACGGCCTGATCACTGGCGTCTGCTTCAATGACGTAGTCACGTTCGGGATCTGGCAAGATGAGCACCGGTGCGGATGTCAGTGCTTGTTTCAGCTGCTCCACGGCTTCCTGGTGCTTCGTCTCCCATTTGTAGGGCGTGTTCTTCTTCAGCAAATTCGTGAGTGGTGCCGCGAGTTTCGCATACTGTGGCACGAACCTGTTGTAGTAATTAGCGAAGCCTAGGAACTGCTGCAACTCCTTCACGGTCTCGGGTGTCTTCCACGTACGTACGGCTTCGATTTTCTTGGGGTCGACGTGAACTCCTTGAGCGCTCACCATGTGTCCTAGAAATTGGACCTTCTCCAGGGCGAATTCGCTCTTGGACAGTTTGACGTAGAAACGTTCCCGTCGAAGAATTTCGAAGACGCGTCGCAGGTGTTCGACGTGCTGCTTCATGTCGCGCGAGTAGATGAGGATGTCGTCCAGGTACACCACCACGCATTCGTCCAAGAGTGGGCGTAGGATGTGGTTCATTTCTGCTTGGAACGTCGCTGGTGCGTTGGTCAGTCCGAACGGCATGACCAAATACTCGTACGATCCGTACCGAGTTCGGAAAGCAGTTTTGTAGATAGAGTTGTCCGCCATCCGTATCTGCCAGTATTCGGACCGCAGATCCAGTTTGGAAAATACCGTAGCTCCCCGAAGCTGGTCAAGCAGGTCATCGATTCGTGGTATCGGATACTTGTTCTTGATGGTCTGCTTGTTAAGAGCTCGGTAGTCGATGCACATGCGCAGGCTTCCGTCCGGTTTCGGGGTGAAGAGTACTGGGGCACCGTATGGTGAAGTGGATGGTCGGATGAGTCCTTTGGCTAGGAGATACTCGATCTGCTTCTTCATGTCGGTCAGCTCCGTAGGGCTGAGTCGATATGGTGCTCGGAAGGTCGGCTTCGAACCTGGTTCCTCTATGATCTCGTGTTGATGCGTGCGGTATGGCGGTAGCTCGTTCGGTAGATCATCAGGAAGAATGTCTTGGAATTCCTTCAGCAATTTCTTGATTTCTCCGGGAGGTTCCGAGGTCTTTTCTCCGTCGGTTTCCACCTCTGTTGCTAACGCCAGGAACCCGGTGTTGGTTCGCTTCACGTCCTTCTCGAATCGTGCGAGTTTCTCCACTGGGATATCTCCTGTATCGTCCCAGTTTGGTAGCTGAACTCTCCTTCCATTGTTGTAGATGCTTGCAGTGCGGTTCACCCAGTTGATTTCGGGGTTGAATCTTTTCAGGAAGTCTCGCCCGAAAATCAGGTCAAGCCCTTTGATGTTGGTGATGGGGAGTGCAGGTCTCCAGCGTAGTGGTCCAATTTGTAGGTGTAACACTGCTTCGCCGTGTACTGGTAGCTTGCTGCCATCCACCATCGTTGCAGAGAATCCTGAAGGCTTGTACTCTTCCCGAAGTCGGTCGATTGCTGCCTTGTTGCAGACGGTGTGAGATGCTCCGCTGTCCACGAGTGCTTGGAGGCATCGTCCTTTGCAGATGACCTCGAGCACGAGAGGCGGGCGTTGCTCGGAGTACCCAAAGATAGTTTCATTAATGGGGTCATAGGGTACATCCCAATAATCCGTACACACCTTTTCGTTGCTATCTGCTCCTGAGCTAGCAGCTGGCTGAGGCTGCTTGGAGAACGGCTCTTCTCCAGGGCCCGGAGTTTCTTTGACGATTGTCCGCGTCATTGATGCCGAAGAACTGGATGCATCCAGAGAAGGAGTTCGGGGTTTTTGCAGCTTCTTGTAGACCCCCAGCTTCCTTTTAAGCTGCTTCAGCTCCACTGAAGTCTTCCCTGGGGAACGGGTAGACGATGTGGGCTGGTGTCGGGAGAGGACGTTGACTCCGTGGAAAGGTCGGCTTCTTTCCACACTCCTTAATTTTTTCCCCATGTTGTCCGGTACCGGTATGATCTCCACAGCTTTCTGCTTCTTTTGGAGTCCCTCCCGTATTTTCTCCAAGGCTCTAGCCCCTCAAAAATCATAAGTTTTCTTTAAAGCATCTTTATATGATAGCTTTAACGAATTCTTATAATTTCTTGGGTCTTCAAGGAGTTTCCCCGTTTCGGCAGAGTCTTTTTTCGCGGAGTCTGATTTTTCCATGCCGGTACAGGAGCTCCGCTAGCTGACCTTCTGGCTCAACGACCTGGGTGAGCGGCCTAGCTCTGCCCCAGTTCTGTACGCTGACAACAGGGTCATGATCCTCCTGTGTCAGGAGCCTCAACTTGAGGGCAGAGCGAAGCACATCCAGCTGTGGTACTTCCTCCTGCGCGAGCTGCAGCAGCATCGCGAGGCTCGTGTAGTACACTTGGCCTCCGGTGCCAACACAGCTGATATACTGTATTTACTAAGGCTCTTGCGCCTAACGATTATCAGCAGCACTGTGTACAGCTAGGTCTCGTTCCTATAGCCTCTCATTTGCTAGGACCTTGATTGTGTACAGACCTCTATATATTTTACCCTGACTGGCCTTGTGACCTCTTCCCAGTGGCTGGACTATTAGTTCCGTCCAGGTCTTGCTCTTGCCTTGTCTGTACTCGTTTGATTGGTCTTTAGACCCCTGCTTCAGAGGGTGGACTAGTAGTGCCACCCTGAGTTGCCTCTCTCTCATCAGGCACTGCCCCTATCCAGTCTAGGGGGTGTGTCAAACATATATCGTATATTGTTATAGACTTTATAGGGTTGTGGCTTAGGGAGTACAACCCATTAGGTTATATTCAGTATTCTAGACATTCTTTCACTTCAACACATAGTTCTCGTATGTTCTCCTACTTTTCCATGCAGGCCACATCTGGGGTGAGGAGCTGGAACGTGGAAAAGAAGGGGGAAGGGGATGGAAAAAATACAGTAGAGGAAAGGGGGCGCGAGAGGGGGAGCGGGTTGTGAGGTAGGGGGGAAAGAGGAGAAGAGTAAGAAAACAATGGGAGGTTTTGGAGGTGTGTTGATAGTTTTAAGGTGGTTTAGAGTAGTTATAAGAATTTGCACATTACTAGCATTTGTCATGCCGGTGCTTCGCATCCATTGCATGCTCATGTCCGTGCCAGTTTTTATTGGTATGCTAGAATGATGTATCGTTGTACTGTTGTGTGGTCGTCTATGCGTTGTTTTGGGTGTACGTGGTATGTGCCAAGTGCTTATTGTTGTAACGAGAGGTTGTGATCGTCACTGGGCAGCATTGCTGTCAGTGTGTACTAGAACAATCCTAGTTGCATCACTGAAGCATTTGTGCACTCGTTTGGAGGCTTGCATCGGATGTGTTCTGTTGTGCTTGTGTACTACTGTTTGCTTGAGGTACAATATGTTATTCAATCAATCCATTCGCCGTATTAGTCGACGTAGCGTAAGCGAGGCAGCCCCAAATGTGGAACGCTGACGCGTCACTAGGGGACCCGGTCCAAAGAAGGGTCAGCCAAACCTGAAGCCACTGGTTAAACTGGTGAGCGGCGTAGCGAACAACGAACGGCCACAGAATATGGGGTGCACTTGCATGGATCATGGAGGTACGAGCCACCTCCATGACCAAACCGATGCGTGGCTCAGTGACCCCATTCTGCTGCGGGGAGTCCGTCAGGGTGTAGGACTGGGTGATGCCCTCCGCACGACAGAATTGGCCAAGCCGACCGGAGGCAAACTCGCCGATGCGGTCGGAGTAGAGACGAAGCACTGGTAGGCCGCGGTGGACTCGCGCAGCTACGACCCACATCAGGCACGTCGGCCTTCCGCTCCAGGGGAATCACTGTGGTATAGCGCAGGTAGACGTCAACGAGCATTAGAAATAGCACTCTCGACGCGGCCTAGGGACGCGGGCTGGGCCCCAAACGTCCAAGTGCAGGGTCTGGAGTGGCGCAGTGGTGGGTGGCAACGAGGGAAGTGAGGAGCACAGCGCAGCCGCCCCTCAACGCAGGGCGTGCACGGTGGCGCGGGGGAGGGAGGGAGGGCAGGGAGTGGCGCACGGAGACCTAAGACAAGACCATGCTGGGACATGTGACGCAGACATGGGAGTGCGGAGTGTCCTACGCGGTGGTGCCACAGAAACGACGGGTGAGTGAGCGACCGACACGAGCAAGCCGCAGAAACCTGGGAGGGTGCGGCCACCTGAGGGGATGCTCTCATCGCGGAGGACGCAGTGTCTAGGGTGAACAAGCTAGACACCGGGTCCCGGGGGAACGTGGTGAGTGGGGCACTGGTGGCAGTCTTGGTACAGACTTCGTACCGCTCGTGTCCAGGAAACGTAGTGGTGACGCCGAGGTCCTGAAGACAGCCGACACCAACTTGGTTCCTCGAGAACGAGGGGATGTATAGGCCTGTAAGAGACCCCAAGGGAACCGCCGGACAGAGAAGGGTAGTGGAGCTACGTGCAACTACCAAACCTAAGGAGGGGTCAGCAAGCGCGAAAAGCGGCAGGGGTGGCATGCGGCGTGAGCGCAGTGTGGTCGCGAAAGAAGTAGACGGACGCACCAGAGTCTAGCGTGAAAGAGAGCATGGGGGTAGCGGCTGCAGGTGGAGGAGCTAGAGTGAAGCCAAGGCTAAACAAGGCAGGTGGTTCTACGCCTGACGCAGCAGGGGAACCTAGGCTACACACAGTGGACACACCTATACCAGGCATTACCGGGTAATAGGGTTCAATCACAATAGAGTCATCTACATACATTACATACATAGTAGACCTAATCTGATCCATATTCAGCTCAAAGACAGGCACACGGTGTTGCACCAGGCTGGACCAGTTGGGGGGGTCCGACGCAGGGTTGAAGCGAAGTCGGAACAGGCTGTCGAGGCGGCGGGAGCAACGGGCGGCGGTGTGACCGGGACGGTCGGAGACGGTGCCGCAGCGAGGGCCGGACTGAAGCTGGTACTGGCAGGTGACCACACTGGAGCCGCCACCCGACACCAAACTGGGCGGCCCATCACCACCACCAGCGCAGCCAGGCCACCACGGCGGCGGGGGTCCCCACGGCTGCTGCTGCTATTCCGGGGCATCAGCCCCGGTCCCCTCGTCCGCACCACCGTCCCCGCCACCACCTTCGCCACCTGCACCACCCCCACCACCCCCGTCACCCTTCCCTCCGCCACGCCCCCCCTTTACGCGTCTGCGCTGAGGCCACGGCGGCGGTCTCAGCAGCAGGGGCTTTCTCAATGACAGCGGCAAAAACGTCAAAGTAGATGCACTGGGAGGGAGCACAGCCCTTGAAGATAGGGATCGTCATAGTACCGCTAGACAGCGCGATAGCGCATTGGCGGGTCTCTATCGCGCACAGGGCAGTGACAAAGGCGGTAAGGGTGAGGTCAACTAGGTGCAGACTAAGGAAGTGGTCGCTGGCACTGGCAAGGCGGTCAGGGAGGCGTGTGGCAATGAGGTAAAGGGTAGCGCAAAGCGGCGGCGGGAATGCAGTGAGTTGTGCCTCAGTGCTAGCAGTGCGGTAGCTAGTCTCAAGTGCACTGAGATGAGTGGCCAGGTCAGCGATAGTGGGGAAGGAAGCAAGATCAGGGAATAGCATGGGGAGGATTAGGCGGCCGATAGAGGCGGAAAAGGGAGTAGAATAGCGTGCAATGACCGCAGCTAAGTATTCCTTCGCAGTTGCTACAACGGTAAAGCAAGGACGCTCAGACAGGGGGAGGGCGTGAGTAATAGCAAGCTGTGCTGCGACTCCCAGACAGCGCGGGCAAGCTCAGCAGGGCCAAAGGCCTCATGCTCAGCAGACGTGGGGGCGTCAGGGACGGCAATAGGCGCGGCGGGGCAGGGGAGCTTATTGTCGACATGGATGGCCAGGGAATAGCCATCCTGGCGCTGACCTGTCAGCTGGCGGCGGAGGCCGACGAGTTATGTTTCAAAGTCAACCGTCCGACCCTCCGCATCCAGGCGGAGCACAGAATCCAACATCACCATGGCTGCAACAGCTGACTGCCGCTGGAGGGGGAGGAGAGCGGCGGAGCGGTGGAGAACAGGGGAGAATGGTGGAGAGCGGTGGAGAGCGGTGGAGAGCAGTCGAGGGAGGTGGAGAGCGGTGGAGTGCAGTGGAGGTTGGTGGAGACAGCCGGTGGGATCGCCGGCTCAGAGGGGAGCCAAGGCCGGCGGGTCAGGGCAGAAGAGCGGCTCGGCGGCTCAGCGACACGGCTACACGGCGGCACTGCGGCTCGGCGGCTTGGCGGCACGGCGGTACGGTGGCTCGGCGGCACGGCGGTACGGCGGCTCGGCGGCACGGCGGCGCGGCTCGGCGGGAGCTAGGGCCGGCGCGGGCTGGGACTGGCGGAGCTGGGGGCCGGCGAAGTTGGGGGCCGGCAGACCTCGGGACGGCGCCGCTGGGGCCGGCAGAGCTGGTGCCAGCGGAGTTGGGACCGGTGGAGCGGGGGCCGGTGGAGCCAGGGCTGACGAAGCTGGGGCCTGCGTGAGTGCGGGGCCGTTACAAGGGGGGGGGCAGCGAGCTAGGGGCCCGCAAGCGAGGGGCCAGCGAGCTCGAGGCCAGCGGACGTGGGGCCGGCGAGTGCGGGGCTAGCGATCTAGGGGTCAGCAAGCAAGGGGCTGGCACGCTAGGGCCGACGAGCTAGGGCCGGCGGGAAGCGGGGTCAGCGGGCGAGCGTGGGGTCTGTGGGCGAGCAGGGACCGGCGAGCTAGGGCCGGCGGGCGCGAGGCTACGGGCGGCTGGCGGTGACAGACGGCTGGCGGCTACGGGCGGCCAGCGGCTACAGGTGAGCAGCTAGCAGAGGCGGCTAGCGACGGGCGGCTAGGAACGGGCGGCTGGCGATAGGCGGCTAGCGACGGGCGGCTAGTGACGGGCGGCTAGGGCTAGGACTAGGACTAGGGCGGAAGCGCGGGTGGGCGGAGAGGACCTAACCTAGCGTGATACCATCTCAGAATAAAGAATTAGCTAGAATGAGAAATACATAATGGTTTTGTGCTGAGGGGTTTTACTCACTAAGAGTACGCACCTATCTAACTTATAATTATATATATATATATATATGTGTTTGACAAAAACCTCTCGTTATATGGTTCAGAGCATGTTGATCCTGCTGAGCCTTCTCCTAACGCTTCCGCAGCGTATCTCTTTTCCTTCCACTGTCGCATTGCCGTGGCGGCCTCGTCTCGCTGCAATGGCGGCCTCGACGCGCTGCCGTGGCGGCCTCATCGTGTTGCCGTGACGACTTCATCGTGCTGCCGTGGTTGCTTCGATGCGCCAGCGCACGGATGGCCAGCGCGCTGGTTTTGCACCAGCCACCACGCTCGCACGCCGGCCAGCTCGCCAGCCTGGGCGGCTCGCTAACAGGCATCGCCGCCGGAGACTCGCCCCCTTTCTTCTGCATTTCTCCCTCTTCCTCGCCGTAGCTGCCGGCGGTCTCGTGCCCATCCTCCCTTGTCATCGCAGAGCGTGCTACACCGCCGGGTGCCTCGGGCGCTGCCACCACCGCAGTCGTCAACGTGGCCGCTGCCGCCGCAGGTGCTGCTGGCTCCGCCGCCAGCCGTCGCCGCCGCCGCTGCCGCTGCTTCCCGCCGCTGACGTCGCCGCCTCACATGCCGAGGGGTCGACCGCTGTAGACTCCCAAAGCTGGTGCTATGTATGGGGGTATTAGGGCTTGGGGGTGTTGGGCTTAGAGGTTTTTGGTGTGTGGTGTGTTTAGAATCTTCTTGTTACTTAAACCAGTTGACAAACTACTAGTGCTGCCTTGGTCTCTTGCCTCTATGAGTAGCACCTACAAAGTCTAGAAGGTGTGTCAACATATATATATATATATATATATATAGGCAAGGCATGTGCATTACTCTAACTGAATCCTATTGTAAAGAGGACAACCCACTTCTTATATCTCACTCTTTATCCTAATCGCTCTCTTTTCTCTCGCCACTTTTCTCCTACCTAGATAAAACCTCTCATGATATATTTACTCATTAACACATTTTTTTGACGTGTTTTGAAAGGTGCCCGAATTTTTTCTGTTCAAATCGGTGCCCCGAAAGCGAAACCAAATGCATAGGATTGCTACGCAACTAAAAATTAATGTCATGATAAGGAAATACCATTTACATATAAAATCATACACTTGTTGGAGTCCCTGGTTGCCAGCACTACATTGGGGTAAAGGTTTAACTACTTATGTACCCATCTATGGGCTAACTATGTGTAGTGGGTAAGGGTTGGAAATAGTACATGTATATGGGAGGGACGTTTTGTAAGGAGTACTATGGGCGCCCCTAGTTCGTTTTCGTCTGAAGGTTACTACCCCTTGCACGATGCTTGTAGCTCGCTCCAAGCCGCCTCCAGTGTAGGATCTGAAGTTGGAGCACAAATGATATGGATGCCCTGTCATGGAGGAACCTCGGATTCCTCACATGCCCCAAAACTGTTTTTGTTTGGTCAACAATCTGGGAAGATGTACGAATTGGTCCCCTCACCTCGAGCTGGGGATTGTTGCTGACGTTCGTGGCGGAGATTCGACCAGTAAAACTGCTGCTTCTGGATTTCTGACAAGAAGAGAATGTCTCGGCTCGGCAGCATGCACATTGCACATGCCATTCCAAGAAGGAAACAGTGGTCTGCCCGTAGACGTATTGTTTTTCTTCTTTTATTGGCCAAATTACCCCAATCAATGCCCGTGTCCTACCTGTACCGACTCAGACACTTGTAAGCATTTCCTTGTGGGTTGAACGCTGGTAGGTTTCACGAAACCTAAATGTCAAGGAAGGACCCTGCGTACCAGTTGTGTGTGGCGTTGTGCCCATTAAATTGGGTTATTACCTGTGCTGTCCTCCGTGATGGGGCAGAATCGTGACACTGGGTGTGGTTGCGCACATCAGAGCTGGTGGTGATAACCCGCGCAAATTGCGCAGCGCGGGAGTGCATAGTGTGGTCCCCCCCTTGCCAGTAAATCTCGCCAAACACCATCCTGCCCGGCTCAGCCTTCTAGATATTCTTTCCGCCCACACTCAGAGAGCAGTGAGCACACTCTTGTTACCAGCATGTTGTATCTTCGCAGAATCTATGCTCGAGGGGTCCCAGTTTCGCCAGAGGGAAATCCTGCACACCGCACCGACTTCGCAAGCTCGCGCGCCACGACATTCCCAGAGTCGCGAATCCTGTGAGCACCCACATCACGCCACGTCACTTCCTCACCCATTCCTTCAAAGTTCCCTGAATCCTCCGCTTCCCCCCCCCTCCTATCAGCTCCTGGTCTACTCCCGTTGCGACCAGGCCAGGCCAGGCTGCTCTAATGCATTGCTGGTTAGCGTTCTCCACCCTCGCCATGGAGTTCTCGCCCGTGATAACCACCAGGGTTATCCTCCTGATCAGCCTGAACGCCATCTGTTCCTCCTCGCTCCGTGCTTTGTTCTCGCCACGTTCGCATTTCTGACGGAACACCTACGAGTTCTTTTCCTTCACCGTGTCTGAACGTTAAGCGCATTGCTGTCCTACTAGTAGTAGAGAGAGAGAGAGAGAGAGAGAGAGAGAGACGTCGTGCCTGTCACAATGGATGCCGCAACCTCGGAGCACGGCGGCACGGCATCAGCGGGAGAGCAGCAGGAGAGACCGGCCGAGGAAGCGGGAGCGAAGGCGGATGCAAGTCAAACGCGTAGACCCGGCGGGGAAGGTGGAGGAACGAGCGAGCGAGCGGGCGACTTCGGTGGTGCTACGACCGATGCGATCGTGACGGTCCTCGGCAGTGTGACCGTGCCCTCGAGAAGTACTATTAATAGTTCCCTGGCCGAACCCCCTTCGCTGAAATCTCCTCCGGTAGATTTTTCTCCGACGGAATACTCTCCTCCGGCTAAGTCTTTTCCAGCCGAACGACGTGGACCTTCTCTACCGCTACTACTGCACAGCAGCCAGAATCCGTCGGAAATTACCGCCGATCGCCCCCCCCCCGATCACCATCGATGCCTGGGCGCAGAAGCGTCCACGAGGCCGCTGAAGCGCCCGCGACTCGCTGGACCAGCCCCTGACGGCGCGGGCGAACGAGATCGGGAAACGGATGTCGCGATGACCAGTGCAATGACGTCATCGGGGAACGAGAAGGAGAACAAGAAGGAGGGCGAGAAGGAGGGCGAGAGCGAGAGCGAGCGCGACCAAGTGATGGACGGGAAGGGGGCGAGTGGAGGCGACTGGGCTTTACACGGATTTGAGGGCGTTTCGGAGGGTCCCCGTGGGAACGGAGTTGAGACAGTCAACGAAAGCGTCGCCGTGAGAAGAGACGGCGAGAGGCAAGAGTGGGACTTGACGGGACCGGTGGATGCAGAGGGAGAGAGCGGACGTCTGGGCGAGCACGATGGAACGGACATGGCTGAGGCGCAAAGGACTTCTGCTGACGTGGAGGAGACAGATATGCAAGCGGGGATGGGGGAGGGGGGTGGAGATCTAATAGAATGGGAGGGCGCGGGCGAAGGCGCGGGCGAGGGCATGGCCTTTGACGAGTTGCTGCTATTGCCGGGCGAGCTGGTCGGACTGCCTCTTGACGCCGCCGCCGCCGCCGCCGCTGCCGCTGCCGCTGCCGTTGCCGCCGTGGCTGATCCGGCTGATCCTGAGGGTGATTGTGGAGGATCAGCGATACCTGCTGCTTTAAGAGCGCCATCAGGGGTCGCTCCTGATCCGTGGGACGCAGCAACCGCCGACGATGATGATGTTCCTCTTTGGGTCGACGCGACGGCTGGTCGCCAGGGCTCTATGATGGAGGGCGGTACTACTATCTGTGCGGGAGATCCGGCTGATGGTGGTACAGCGGCGGCCATGAGTCATCATCGCAATGCCGGTGACGATGTCACTGCCGACGACGGGAGGGTGCAGGTCAAGAAGGACCGCCCTGAATCAGCGGCGGCTGAGGACGGCTTGTTCGGTGCGACTCATAGTCCCGACGCTGACGCTGACGGTGACGGTGACGCTGACGCTGACGCTGACGCCGACGCTGACGCTGCTGACGCTGATGCTGACGCTGACGCTGATGACGCTGACGCCGATGCCGACGGTGACGCCCACGGAGCGGACGAGGTGGTAGGGGGCGAGCTGGGAGAGGACGAGGCTAGAAGAGACGCGCCAGCGTTTGGCGAAGGCGATAGTCGGAGCAGCGGGCAGCGTGGGGGAGGCGCGGCCGAGGCGAGCGTGGCGGGGAGCAGACACAGCAGCGGGAGCAGTGGCAGCAGCAGCGGTGGCGGCGGAAGCAGGAGTGGCGGGGAGGAGAATGACACAGTCGAAGTCAGTGCTTCAGGTGCTGCTTCAGGTGCCACGGCATCTGGTGGCCATGCTGCTGCCACAGCCTGTAAGCCTGGGGAAGGTTGGACTGCGTCCTCTGCCGCGTTGCCCGCTCTCGTCCACTGCTCCTCCTCCTCCGCGCTTGCCTCTGCGCCTGCGCTCCAACATCCCGAAGTTATTCGTTCTGCTCATGGCGCCGCCGGTGCTGCTGCTGACGCGGGGGTTGCTGGCGGCGTTACCCCTGCTGCTGCTGCTGCTGCTGCTGCTGCTGCTGCTGCTGCTGCTGCTGCTGCTGGTGCGAAGGCTTTGAGTAGCGATCCTTCTGCTGATGCTGCGGCTGCTGAGGCTGCAGTTACCTCCACTATCGCCCCTGCATCTTCCCTTGCTGCTGCGGCTGCTGCTGATGGTATAGACGACTCAGCAGGCAAACCCGTCCCTTCCTCCGCACCATCCCTTGTGCCCGCGTCCTCCGCCTCTGCTCTCCCCACTTCCTGCTCCCTCCCCACCTCCTGCCCTTCGTCCCCCAACCGCTCCTCCCACTCCTCCCCCCCGTCCTCCTCCGCGTCCTCCGCCCGTGCGGCCTCGAAGCCTTCCAGCAGGAAGCCGTCGCCCTCCTCTTCTTGCCCCGTTACAGCAGCCGCCGGTGCCGTGGGTGCTGCGGGTGCGGCAGGGCGGACGAACGAGTCACCAAATGCAAAGGCAGCAGCAGCCGCCGCAGCAGGAGCACCAGCAGCAGCGGCGGCGGCGGCTACTGAACGTTGCGCTACTGCACCTGCTCCTGCACCATCTGCGGCCCCCTCAGTGGCCTCGTGCCAGCCGCCCTTGCGGTCGCTGCAAGCCGTGAGAGCCAGCAGCAGCAAGGGGCTCAAGACCATCATGCCCGCTCCCCTGTACTGCCACCCCTCATACCCCTCATACCCCTCTTACCCCTCTTACCCCTCTTACCCCTCGTGTCCCTCGTACGCCTCCTTCGCCTCGCCCTTCGCCTCAGCTCCTGGTGCTCCCACTGCTGGGTTCTTCTCTGGTAGTCAGCTGGTGCCTGTGGGAATGCCGCTTATGGTTGGGGCAGGGAGCATGGGGGCCGGCAGCATGGGGGACATGGGCGGAATGGGGAACATGGGGGGTATGGTTGGCATAGGGGGCATGGCCAATGGCATGTGTCATGGCATGGCTTCTAGCAGTTTTGGAATGGTGGCCAATGGGATGGCTGCGAATGGCGCGGGGGGCATGGTGATGGGTGGGACTGTTGCCTGGCCTGGGGCAGCAGCAGCGTTTCCCATGACCAGTGGCACCATGGGCATGGGCATGGGCATGGGTATGGGTATGGGTATGGGTATGAGTATGGGTATGGGAGCAGGGATGGGTGGTGTGGGCGCGGGGGGAGGGGCCGTTGGGGCAACGGCTATGGGCGTGCCTGTGCAGCAGCAAGGCGGGTGGGGGGTGGTGCAGGCAGCACCGATGGCCCAACCGCAGGCAGCCGCGGGTCCGTTCCACAGCCAGCAGCAGGTGCAGATGGCTCCGTTTCATGGGGGTTCGAGCTTTGACATGGGCGTGGGCGTGGGGATGGGTATGGGGATGGGGATGGGGATGATTAGTGGTGGCGTGAGCATGGGATCTCCTGCAGCTCCTGCAACGGGAATGGGCTCTGCAATGCCAGCCACAGCAGCAGCCTACGGAGCTTCATCGCCAGCCATGTGGTGCACGCCCCAGGTACAAGCCTGCTTGCAGCTTGCCCACCCTATTCTACGCATGCTAAACTGGACGCATGCATCTATATTATGCTTCCTTCCCCCCTTTCTCTCTTCGCACCCCCTCTCCCCCCCGCTTCCCCCCCCTTGTACTCTCGTCGCCCCTATAACAGGGGGCATGGGTACAAGCCACCCAAGGGACGCCGCTGTCTCACACGCAGCACTCGTTCCCGTCGTCATCACTATCATCGCAAGGCTTTGACTCTGCAGCCCAGCAACTCTGCAGCCCGATGCCTCCCCTCACTGTTCCTGCAAGCGGTGCACCCGCACCCGCCGCTGCTGCTGCTTTTGATCCTGCTGCTGCCGCCCCTGTTGCTGCCGCACCCGCACCACAGCACACCACCTTTCCGTTTGAAAACGCCCTGCTGGTGCCTTGCTCCTGGGGTGAAGTCCACACGGATTCCGCCACTCCCAGCGCTGCTGGCACTGCTGCTGGTCGTGCTGCATGTGCTGCTGAATGTGATGCGCCTTTGAGAAGCACGGTGAATGCTGCTTTCCCTGCTTCGTCTGCTGATGCTGATGGTGCTGCCGTTGCTGCTGCTGCTGCTGCTGGTGCTGGTGGTGCTGGTGCTGGTGCTGGTGCTGGTGCTGGTGCTGCAGCTGGTGCTGGTGCTGCAGCTGGTGCTGGTGCTGCAGCTGGTGCTGGTGCTGCAGCTGGTGCTGGTGCTGCAGCTGGTGCTGGTGCTGCAGCTGGTGCTGGTGCTGGTGCTGCAGCTGGTGCTGCAGCTGTTGCCAGTGCCGACACTAATGATGATGATGGTAGTTGTGATTTTGCTGCCATGGAAATCCAACTAGAGCCGTCAGCACTGGAAACTCACAAGCCTTCTTCCTGCTCCTCCCTGCCCCTCTTGCACCCTGCTCCGACCACAACCACCACCACCACGACCACCACCACTAGTTATAGCAACAGTGGTGGCCTGACTTATTCCAGCACTGTCTCGTGCCCCCAGCAGCAGCACCAGTCCGCCTTCGCCCACGCCAACGACTCCCATAAACCTTCCAACCTTCCAGTGATGCTGCGACAAAAGACTGCTGCTGCTGCATGCGATGCCACCGGCGCTGCTGCTGCTGCTGCTGCTGCTACTGCTGCTGCTGGCAGTGACACTACTGGCGCTGGCGCTGCTGTTTTGCCATCCGCCATCCCTGCCACTGCTGGTGCTTCAGGCCGTACTGGCATTAAACGGCAACGGAAGCCCGCGGATATGGCATGTGCAGAAAAGAAGAAAGCAAATGCTGGCGCTGGTGCTGGAGGCGTGAATGGCAGTGAATGTCGTAGCAACTGTCGCAACAGTGGTAATAGCAGTAAGAGCGGTACCCACAGTGCCGGTGGCAATGCACCGCGGCCACTGCCGTCCTCCCCTGTCTCCTCTGTGTCGGCTAACGTGTCTGCTGCGTCTGCTGCTGCTGCCAACGCAGCTGCTGCCTTCCTGCTAAGTGGCTCCACTGAACCCTCTCCTCCTCCTCCTCCTCCTCCTCCTCCTCCTCCTCCTCCTCCTCCTCCTCCTCCTCCTCCTCCTCCTCCTCCTCCTCCTCCTCCTCCTCCTCCTCCTCCTCCTCCTCCTCCTCCTCCTCCTCCTCCTCCTCCTCCTCCTCCTCCTCCTCCTCCTCCTCCTCCTCCTCCTGCTGCTGCTGCGGCTCCTGCTGCTGCTGCTGCTGCTGCTGCTGCTGGAGGTGAGGAAAAGGAGGAGCAAGGGAGTGCAGATGTGAATGGGGAGGCTGTGCCGGACGCCGATGCCCTTTTCTCCGACTCGCTCCTGCGAGACGACGACGACGGCCACCAACTCTCTTTCCTGCTCCATCTATCCTCGCAAGCTCCTCGTGCGCCTGTGTCATCTGCCTTACCTGCTCCTGCTATCCGTGCTGCACCTGGTGTGGGTGGCACAGGGGCAGGAACAGGCGAGGGGACGGACGGGCATGGAGTCGAGAGGGAGGAGCAGCACCAGGGAAATGAGCTCGAGATTGGGGGCACCGGTTATTTGGCTGGTGGCGGTGCTTGTGGTGATGCGGGGGGGGCTAATTTCCTGGACGTGGATGTGTTTGGATGGCTTGCGGAAGACTCACCCTTCGGAGGGTCACCAGCCAAGGCCATGCCCACGGTATGTGCTGTTACCGCTGCCTTTCTCCGTTTTCCCCTTCTTTCCATTCCCTTCTCGCATTCTCCCTCACTCTTCTGCCCCCGCTCTCGCTCTCCCTCCCTTCCACTCTCGCTTTCTCACGTCCCCTCACCCCCAGGCATAGCGCACCTAGTGAGACGAAATCCTGACTTAATTTCCTAAACCTCCGTCCCTTTTTTGCCCATTACCTGCTGACGCTTTCTGGTTGCAGGCTGAGCCTGTAGAGGAGAGGGAGACAGATACCCCCAGCAGCAGCAGCTGTGAGGTGGGTGGAGGCGGAGGAGGGGACATCACCGCTGCCACCCACACCGCAGACACACCAGCCCCTCTTGTCACCTCAAATTATGCTTGCCACTCGGCCACAACTTTAACGTCTGCAGCAACAGCATCACCAACAGCAACAGCAACAGCAACAGCAACAGCAACAGCAACAGCAGCAGCAACAGCAGCAGCAGCATCAGCTCCGGGTTCCACTCAAGGGCCTCCGTCCACCACTACACTTGCGCCTCCTCATGCTGCTGCTGCTGCTGCAGCGGCGTCTGCTGCAACTTCACCTGCTGGCGCTTCGCTTACTGCAGTTGTCCCCAGCAACCCCAGCTCCAAGCAGAAGAAGCCTTCAGCCCGACCTGCTGCTGCTGCTGCTGCTGCTGGCAATTCTGTTGCCAAAACCACCAAACTGAGCAAACCCACCAAAGCTGCTTCCGTTACCAAGACTACTACTGGGGCTACTGCTCCTCCTCTTCCTCCTCCTCCTCCTCCTCCTCCTGTTGCTGCTGCTGTTACCACGAAGGTGGGAGGACATGGCAAGAAGGCGGCTGCTGTCACAGCAAATAAAGCAGCTGCTATTGTGTCTGCAGCTGCACCTGCACCTGCTACTCCCTCCACTCCTTCCGCTGCAAAGGCCAGCGTGGGTGGCATCGCTGGCCCTGCCATGGCAGCTACCCCTGTTGCTTCCGGCAGAGCCATGGATGCTGCACGGGCTGCTGGGGCTGCTGGGGCTGGGGCTGCTGTGCCCTCGTCTCTTGGTCCAAAGGCCGTGCTGGCTAGGATCAGAAGCGGCAAGGTCGCTGCTGCTATGGCTGCTGCCTCTGCTGCTGGTCAACGATCTCCCCCCTTTGTTACAGCTGCGCAGAAGGCTACAGCGGTCGCTCTGCCGGCCGTAGTGAACAAAGACGTGATTCGAAAAGGAGGAGCACCAGCAGCAGCAGCCGGAGGAGGAGAGGTGCAGAAAACAGGAGTGGTGTTGGGTGCAACAGGAGGGGCAGTTTCAGGCATTGCCCGGCGTGGAGGCTCGTTGAACCCCTCTCCTCGACTCACTGCAGCCCTGTCTTCTGTTCGTGGTGGAGGTAACCGATGAACAAAAAGTATGGTAAAGCTTACCATAGTATGCGAGTGTTGTAGGGCGAGCGAAAGATGTTACACTTCGAGTGTAGGGAACCTGAGTAGGACGTTTGTGGGTTGCCATTGGTCCGTTTAAGCTGGCTAAATACACGTGTTTCTGCACTTTGATTGCACTTGAAGCTGTCGGTTTCATCTACATTATATAAGCGACCTCTCAAGCAACTGGGCTGTAACTGTAGCACACCCTTGCGAAATGGGCCCCACAGTCCACCACTTTGCCTCGCCACCCAACGACGGTAACTCGGCAACCTAGGCCTTCAGCTCTGTTCCATGCGACACCTACCCATATCAGTTGCGACCTTGCTTGCGATCGCAGCCCAGTCGCTCGCGAGCATTCTGTATGACCCTTCGCGGTCGTCCCTACCCAAGTCCCCCCCATGCATCCCCTCGCCTCCCCTCGCAAGCATAGCATACCCTTCCCCCACCTCCTCCACCTGGTCCACCTCTCCCCTCTCTGCTTGCCCTTGCCACGGCAAAATCTGGCACATTCCGCTGAGTCTCGTGGCGTGATCCTGATCCTGATTCTGATCCCAGTCTCCTGACTTGACTGACCGCCTGTATTTCGCGGGCCGACTCGGTCGAAGCCAGCCTTCGCTGCGTGCGGTTCCTCAGTCTACCAGTCGACCAGTTTATTAGTTCAACAGTCTACCAGTCGACATTATTACCAGTGTACCCGTCTACCAGTCTACGCATTAGACGACGCCTGTACCGCGCGATCAGCGAGTGAGTCGCATCCCGTCGTCCGTACCTCTAAAATTTACGGTTTTGATTGCCGTCGGCTGACAGTTCCCTGTCATTAGATCATTGGCTTTCCACGACTATAGTATCTCCTTTGCCAGCAGCCTCCCTGACACCGATCGTTTGGCTCTCCCACTCCGTCATCCTTTTCGTTGGAAGATCTTCTCTCGTTATAGTCACCCGCGCGACGGTCTATCGCCACGATGGCAACTCCAGATTTCTCGGACCTCGAGGCGGTGGACGCGGTGCGGCTGACGTGGAACGTGTGGCCGAATTCTAAGGTCGAGGCGACCAAATGCGTGGTGCCGTTCGCGGCGGTGTACACGCCCGCGAAGCGCCTGCCCGAGATGCCCGTGCTTCCCTACGAGCCGATCCGGTGCAAGTCGTGCCGGTCCGTGCTCAACCCGTTCGCGCGCGTCGACTTCATCGGCAAGATCTGGATCTGCCCCTTCTGCTACCAGGTGCTGGTAGTTGTGGTACTGCTGCTACCAGGAGCAGCTGCTGACGTCACCAGGTGCCGCTGCTGGTTCCTGGTGCTGCTGATGCTACTAGGTGCTGGTAGTTATGGTGCTGCTGCTGTTGCTGCTGTTGCTGCTGTGCCGCAATTGGGTTGCATCATGCCCGGGCCTCGTGTGTAAAGAGATGCTTTCCCTTTCCCTTTCCCTTTCCCTTCACACTGCCACTGCCACTACCACTGCCACTGCTGGTGGCAGCGTCCCATGGTCCCTCCCCCCTACCTCCTACCCTCACAACGTGGACCCCCTCGGCTCTTCTTCCTACCCTGCTCGATTCCCACTGTCGCCTCCCCTCTCCCCCCTCCTCCTCCCCCACGTCCCCACGTCCCCCCGCCCCCAGCGCAACCACTTTCCGCCGCACTACGCGGCGATCTCGGAGCAGAGCCTGCCGGCGGAGCTGTTTCCGCAGTACACGACGATCGAGTACACGCTGCCCACCGTGGGGCCGCCCGCCAACCCCGTCTTCCTCTTCCTGCTCGACCTCTGCCTCATCGAGGAGGAGCTGGGGTACCTCAAAACGGCCGTCTCGCAGGTGCGTGGGCGGCGGGACAGGTGGTTTTGGGGGGGGAAAGGTGGAGGGAGGGAGGGAGGGATGGTTCCTCTTCCTGCCGGACCTCTGCCTCGTTGACGAGGAGCTGGGGCACCTCAAAACGGCCGTCTCGCAGGTGCGTGGGCGTGGGCGTGGTGGGGTGGGGGTGAGGGTGAGAATGTGCTTCTGTGTGTGTGTGTGTGTGTCCCAGAGAGGGAGTGGAAGAAAGACGGGTGGAGGGTATCCCTTCCTGCTGGACCTGCGCCTCATTGACCAAGAGCTGGGTGGGTGGGTGGGTGGGTGGGTGGGTGTGGGGAGGATTGGGGATGTCTCAGTGGGTGTTTCCGTGTGTGTGCGCTTCCGTGCTCGGGTTCGTTTGGGTTCGTCTCTTTCTTCCCCCCTGCAATCCCTCCCCCCCTCTCTCCCACTCCTCCTCAACCCCCCCCACACCCCCCTTTGTCCCCTCCACTCCTCACCCAACCACAAGCCATCGGCCTACAGGGCCGAAGAACGCCCTGCAGGGCCTGATAACGCACGGCACGCTGGTGCGTGCACGTGCACGCCTACGCCTTTAGAGGCGCCTTACAAAGCTCTCTCTCCCACCCCGCACACCCCCCGCCAGGCCATAGGCCTACTCCCCGAGAACGCCCTCCTGGGGCTGATAACGTACGGCACGCAGTTGCACGTGCACGAGCTGGGGTACGCGGAGCAGGAGCAGCCGTCCCCTCTCAATCCCCCCTGGCGCACAGGTGCACGGCTGCTGAGGCGCCTCAAACCGCTCCCTCCCTCCCTCCCTCCCTCCTTCCCTCCCACACCCCACCCCCCCCACGCCCCCCGCCCCACGCCCAGGCCATTGGCCTACTCCCCGAGAACGCCCTTCTGGGCCTGATCACGTACGGCACGCAGGTGCACGTGCACGAGCTGGGGTACGCGGACTGCCCCAAGATGTTCATCTTCCGCGGCACCAAGGACGTCTCCCGCGCCCAGATCATCCAGCACCTCGGCCTCGCCGGCCCCGGCGCCGCAGGCGCAGGCTCCACGGGAGCAGGAGCAGCAGCGGGCGGGGCAGGAGGCGCCGGAGCGGGAGGGGGGGCGGGGGGAGGAGGAGCAGGGGGGATGATGAGGGACGGGGTGCCGGCGGCGAGCGTGGCGCGGTTTCTGCTCCCGGCGCAGGAGTGCGAGTTTACAGTGGCGACGGTTCTGGACGAGCTTAGTAGGGATGCGTTCCCCGTGGCCCCGGGGGAGAGGGCCGCGCGGTGCACGGGTACGGCGCTGAGTGTGGCCACGGCGCTGCTGGGCGCGTGCGTGCCGGGCACCGGCGCCAGGATACTCAGCTTTGTCGGCGGGCCGTGCACGGAAGGGCCCGGCATGGTGCGTGTCAGGGGGGCGTGTGCTGTGGAGGGAAGAAGGGGGGCAAGAAGGGGGGGAGAAGGGGGGGGAGAAGGAAGGGGGGGAGAAGGGGGGGGAGAAGGAAGGGGGGGGAGAAGGAAGGGGGGGAGAAGGAAGGGGGGTAGAAGGGGGGGGAGAAGGGGGGAGAAGGGGGGGGAGAAGGAAGAGGAAGGGGGGGAGAAAGGGGGGGAGAAAGGGGGGAGATGGGGGAGAAGAAGGGGGGGGAGAAGGAAGGGGGGGGAGAAGGAAGGGGGGGAGAAGGAAGGGGGGTAGAAGGGGGGGGAGAAGGGGGGAGAAGGGGGGGAGAAGGAAGAGGAAGGGGGGGAGAAGGGGGGGAGAAAGGGGGGAGATGGGGGAGAAGAAGGGGGGGGAGAAGGAAGGGGGGGAGAAGGAAGGGGGGGAGAAGGAAGGGGGGGGAGAAGGAAGGGGGGTAGAAGGGGGGGAGAAGGGGGGGAGAAGGGGGGGAGAAGGAAGAGGAAGGGGGGGGAGAAGGGGGGGGAGAAAGGGGGGGAGATGGGGGAGAAGAAGGGGTGGGGAGATGGGAGGGGGGGGGAAGAAGGGGTGGAAGAAGGGAGGGAGGAAGGGGGGTGAGAAGTGGGGCAGAGGGGGGGAGGGGAGGGAAGATGGACGAGCTGGGCCATGCGTGCGTGTGTGCGTGCATCCGTGCGTGCATGCGTGTGTGTGTTTAAATTCGTTCTGCATGCCACCATGTTCCTTTCAGTCCGTCTCTATCGCACTACCCCCCCCCTCCCCTCCCCTTCCAACCCACCCTCCCTCCCCCCCCCTCCCCACTCCACAACCCCCCCAATCATCAGATCGTGGGTCGCACGCTCTCGGAGCCGATTGGATCACACAACACAAGGACCTGGACGTGGGTTTAGGCCAACGGGGGGCTGCACTACGGCAATCCAAGGGGCTTACGAGGCGCCTCAACTCTCCTCTCCATCCCTCTCCCCTTCCCCGTCCCCTTCAATCCAGATCGTGGGCTGCCAGCTCGCAACCTCGCAGAGCCCATCGGGTTGCACAAGCACCTGGACAAAGACGAGTTGCCGCCGCACTACGGCGATTCGAGCCGACTCAAGATGCCTTTCAAATCAGACTACCCCTTCCCCACTGAACCCTCCCCCACGTCCCTCCCATCCCCTCCCTCCCTCCCTCCCCTCCCTCCCCCCCTCTCATCAGATCGTGGGTCGCGACCTGTCCGAGCCGATCCGGTCGCACAAGGACCTGGACAAAGACGCGGTGCCGCACTACAGCAAAGCCGTGAAGTTCTATGACGGGCTCGCGAAGCAGCTCGTGGCTCAGGGCCACGTGCTCGACCTCTTCTCCTCTGCGCTTGACCAGGTGAGCCGCCAACCCTCCGCCCTACTCTCCCTCGCACACTCTCTCGCTCCCCGCTCTCCCCTCCCCCCCCCCCCCCCCCCTTCTCCCTCCTCCCTTTCCCCCTCAAAGCACCCTCTCTACATCAGACCATTCCCACCATTCCCACCACTCTCACCATTCCAACCTCCCTTCAACCTCCGTCCACCCTCCTCCAACCTCCACCCCGGCGTCCTCCGACCCCTCTCTCGCAGGTGGGCATAGCGGAGCTGAATTTGGCGGTGGAGAAGTCCCCCGTACTCTCACCACTCCCACCCCCCCCTTAAGCTGCCTCCATTTCACCCTTCCCTCCCTCCTCCCCCCCCTTCTTCCCCCAGGTGGGCATAGCCGAGATGAAGGTGGCGGTGGAGAAGTCGGGCGGGCTGGTGGTGCTGTCGGAGAGCTTTGGGCACTCGGTGTTCAAGGACTCGCTCAAGAGGGTCTTCGATGCCGGGGACACCTCGCTCGGCCTCTCCTTCAAGTACGCCCTCTTGCTCTGCACCTCACCGCACCGCACCGCACCACACCTCACCGCACCGCATCTCATTGCTCTGCATCTCGCCGCTCCGTACTGTACCGCACGCACCGCAGTGCACGCACCACACTGTACTGCACCTTCCTGCCATCATCAAAACCAAATGTCACCCTTGTTGTTCCTCATTTTGATGCTGTCCCTGCCTGTCCCCCCTGCGTCACCATGAGTCATGAGTCACGAGTCACGAGTCACGACCAGTGTGCACTCGTTACTGGCTCTCATGACCAGTACTCACTGTTTCACTGTGCACTCTCTCCCCTCTCGTCACCGGCTCTCTCCCGCCCCCTCTCGTCCCCTCCCGGCTCCTCGTGTTCCCTCCCGCCCCCTTCCCTCCCTCTCCCCCCCACCCTTTCTCCCTCCCCCCTCTCCCCCCACCCGATACCCCAATGGGTGAGCAGCGGCATATTTGAGGTGCACTGTTCCAAGGACATCAAGGTGCAAGGGGCCATTGGGCCCTGCTCCTCGCTCGACAGAGTGCGTGTCCCATGCCCCATGCTCCTTGCCCCATGCCCCATGCCCCATGCCCCATGCCCCATGCTCCTTGCCCCATGCCCCATGCCCCATGCCCCATGCCCCATGCCCCATGCCCCATGTCCCATGCGCCATACCATATTAACTTTGCCATTCCACGCCATCCCACGCCATACCGCACCACACCGCGCCATACCAAGCCATACCAATCCATGCCAGACCATACCACGCTATACCAGGCCATACCACGCCATGCCACACCATACCAACCCACGTTTGTCCATCCTCTCACATTTTCCACTCCCTTGCGCAACTCCTTTCTCGAACTTTCACCCATTCCTCCCCGTCACTTCCTCCAACCCTGCGTGTGCCCGTCGCTCAACATGGCCCGTCCGCACCAGACCACCCATGGCGCAGGGGCACACAGCAGCACCTCTCGCCCCCTCACCCGTTTCTCCCTATTGGCCACCCTACCCCCTACCTCTCTACCCACTACTCCCTCCCTACCCCCTTACCACCTGCCCCCCTCCCCCCCTTCTCCCCTCCCCCCCCCTTCAGAAAGGGCCGTCGACGTCGGACGCGGCCATAGGGCAGGGGCACACGACGGCGTGGAAGCTGTGTGGGCTGGACGTGTGCACGTCGCTGGCGGTGCTGTTTGAGATCGTGCCCGCGCAGCAACCCCAGCAGCAGCAGCAGGCCGCCGCACAGGGCCTGCAGAACCCCGCCGCACAGCAGTTCCACCTGCAGTTCTCCACCTCGTGAGTGCGGCAGCCGGGGGGGGGGGGGGAGAGGGGGGATGTTCAGGGGGCCTCAGAGGGGGAAATCAACTCAAAAGCCACCTTCTTATCGCACAGGGCCTGCAGAACCTTGCGGCGCAGCAGTTCCACCTGCAGTTCTCCACCTCGTGAGTGGGGGGGGGCAAACGGGGGTGGGGGGAAGGGGGTGGGGGGGGTGTGGAGAAGTGGGGTTTTGAGGGGAAATCAACGTACAAGAGACAACTGGTTCCCCCTCACACTCGAGAATCCCGGCCCACCCATGCACACCAGGTGGTGTGGTACTACCAGCCCTGCCCCGGTTGCATGTGACAAGAGTCACTTCCCATCCGCTCTGTCCACCCGCCCTTCCCTGCTCTGCCTTGCTGGTGCTACTGCACGTGCACGCCAGGTACCAGCACCCGTCGGGCGAGACGCGGTTGCGTGTGACAAGCATCACGCGGCGGTGGGTGGAAGGGGCGAGCTCTGGCGACCTGGTGGCGGGCTTCGACCAGGAGGCTGCGGCTGCCGTGGTGGCGCGCATCACAGGGTTCAAGATGGAGACAGAGGTGCGGGTGGTAACAGGAGGTGACCTTTGAGTCCAAGAGGTGAGGAGGGGGTGGTAACCTTTGAGTGGATCCAGCGCCGACCAGGAGGCCGCTGCTGCTGTGGTGGCGTGTATCACGGGGTTCAAGATGGAGGAGACAGAGGTGCGGGGGGGGAAGGGGGAGGGGGAGAGGGGAAGAGGTTGGGGGGATGGGGAGAGGTGAGGGTTGGGTTGGGTTGGGTTGGGTTGGGTGGGGTGGGGTGTGCGAAACTTGAGTTGGCTTAAAAACCACCAGGAGGCTGTTGCTGCTGCCGTGGCGGTACGTGGTACGGATTATAGGGTTCAAGATGGAGAGACAGAGGTGGGGAGGGGGGGGGGGAGGCGAGAAGAAAGGGGGGGGGAAAGGGTGAGGGAGGGCGGGAGTGGAGGGGGAAAAAGAGAGTGGGGAGAGGTGACGTTTGAGTGGATCCAGCCACAGTTTGCTGCTGCCGTGGTGCTGCGGCTTCTCACCCGCCTCTCTCCTCTCGCCTAGCACCCTCGTCCCTCGCTCTTACCCGTCTTTCCTCTCTCCCCTAACCCCTTTTCCCTAAACCCTCTCTCCTTTTTCTTTCTCCCCCTACCCCCTTCTCCCCCCTCTCCCTTCTCTCCCCCCTCTCCCCCGCCCACCCTCACAAGGAGCTTGACGCCACATGGTGGCTGGACAGCATGCTGGTCCGCGTGTCCAACACGTTTGGCTTCTGAGGCGGCTCAAGAGTCCTATCCCCTCTCTCTCCCCACTCCCCCCTCCCCTCCCACTCCCCCCACTCTCCCCACTCCCCCCCCCCCATCCTCAGGAGGAGTTTGACGCCACGCGGTGGCTGGACCGCATGCTGATCCGCGTGTGCAACAAGTTTGGGGACTACCGCAAGGACGACCCTGCCTCCTTCTGCCTCTCGCCCAACCTCTCGCTCTTCCCGCAGTTCATGTTCAACCTGCGCCGCTCGCAGTTCGTGCAGGTGAGGGGGTGGGGTGTGTGGGTGCCGGTGGTTGCCGGTGGGTGCTGGTGGGTGCTGGTGGGTGCTGGTGGGTGCCGGTGGGTGGGTGGGTCTTGGTGCTAATAGGGGGGTTTGGGTGTTGGTGGGGGTGTGTGGAGGGAAGGACGCCCTACGGATGTGAGAAGGGAGGTTCGTGTGGGTGTGTGTGAATCGATGCGCTGGCTGCTCGCCCCTACTTCTCGCCCAACCTCTGGCTCTTTCCGCAGTTCATGTTCAACCTGTGCCCCTCAACGTTCGTGCAGGTGGGGGGTTTGGAGGGGGAGGTTGTTGTTGCTGGTGCAGGGGTGGATGAGCGGGTGTTGGTGCAGTTGTGAATCGAAGCTCTGGTCGCTTTTGCATCAAGAGTTGTTGTGGGATGGATGGATGGATGGTGTGTGCTTGTTTTTTGCCCCTGCTTGTCACCCCACATGTACGTTCATACATACATACATGCCTACCAGTCTGGTTCTCGCACACCAATCTGTCCCATGCCATGCATGCCTCTCTCTCTCTCTCTCCCATGATCCCATCCCTGCTGTGGCATGGAGCCAGGTGTTTGGCAGCAGTCCGGACGAGACGGCGTATTTCCGGATGGTGCTCAACAGAGAGAGCGTGCTCAACTCGCTCGTCATGATCCAAGTCAGTGCCCACTGCTGTGCCGTGCTGTGCTGTCCTGCGCTGTCCTGTGCTGTGCTGTGATATGCTGTGCTGCGCTTTGCTGGGTTCCACACGTTGTGGGCATGTGTGACAGTGCATGCATGCTGGGTGTGCATGTGTGTGTCCCTCACTTAACCCTCCCCCATCCCTTCCGCCCCCCACCCGCCTGGCAGCCCACCCTGACGGCATACTCGTTCAACTCACCACCGGAGCCAGCGCTGCTGGATGTGGCAGCCATAGCGGTGGACCGCATCCTGCTGCTGGACTCCTTCTTCTCCGTTGTCATCTTCCACGGCAGCACCATTGCGCAGTGGCGCAACGCTGGCTACCACAACCAACCCGAGCACCAGGTGGGTTTTGTGGCTGCCTTAGTTGATTAGCAGGGCAGCAGCACCATCGCAACGCCGGCTACCACACTCAACCTGAACACCAGGTGGGTAGGCGGACGGGCGGGCAGGCGGCCGGGCGGGCAGGCGGGTGGGTGGGTGGGTGGGTGGATGGTTGGATGGATGTATAGATGCCAAGTCTTAGATGCCTAATTTCTCGTCGAGTTCTTACTTCCCCCCTCAACCACCCCTACCGCCTCTCTGCTCTCACCCCATCTCCTTTCCTGTCATTGCCGTACCAACACATGCACACCCACATATCGCATACACACACTCGCTCTTCGGTGCCTAGCTGGGTTCAGCGCTTTCGTCCGCCCTTGCTTGCACAAACCCACCACCCTCTCCTATCCCTGGCCCCCCTCGCTCTCCTGCTCCTCCTCCCCATTCCTGCCCCCAGGCGTTTGCGCAGCTGCTACAGGCGCCCCAGGCAGATGCAGCAGCCATCATAGCAGAGCGGTTCCCCGTGCCGCGCCTCGTCGACTGCGACCAGAACGGCAGCCAGGTAGGGCGCATGGTGGTGGGGGGGAGGAGGGAGGGGAGGGAGGGGAGGGGACGAAAAAGAGGGGGGAGAGGAGGGGGGGGGGGGGGGGGGGAAGAGGAAGGTGAGGAAGGAAGAAGCGCAGAGGGTTGGATGGGTGTAGGGCAGGAGGGATGTGTGAGTCGGTGCAGCTGAAGCTTAGGCAAAGCAAGCCGAGCCAGTATGTGCATGAAGTGCTCTCACCTGCCCCTCTTGTGTTCGTTTTGGTGGTGACTTTCTGACTGTGTTTGTGTTTCGTGCATGTACCCGCCCCAGGCTCGGTTCCTGCTGGCAAAGTTGAACCCATCGGCGACATACAACAGTGCGTCAGCAGTCCCGGGCGGAGAGGTCATTCTCACAGACGACGTGTCGCTGCAGGTGTTCATGGAGCACCTGCAACGACTGTCAGTGCAGTCGTAGGCGTGCGTCGCAGTCAAGTGACTGGGAGTAGGGTAGGTTAGAAGTGGTAGAAAGAGGATAATGTGGTAAGTGTTTGCAGAGAGGGTCCTACAAGAGTTCAGGATTTTCACCAATTCCATTGAGTTGCTCCACCCTATGATACTAGCGTCATCACCACCCAAGAATACCCGTGTTGTAAAGATGCATTTTACATTTGCGCACTTCAAATTTGTGTTTCAACGGCGAAGGTGATTTATCCATAACACGTGGAAAACTAACATCCATGTAAGGAAAATTCCTCTTCCTTACTGGGCTCAACTACAGCGCGTACGCCCTCGACCCTCGGAAGACCAGGCTATCAGAAATTGAAGAAGTGAATATTGTTAAAGAGAGGGTACATACAGATATACCGAAGTGTTGTACCCTCTAAGAGGCTACCATATACAGTCTATACAAACATGACAAATACACATGTTTGACACACCCCCTAGACTGCATAAGGGAATGTCCTAAACAAGCAGCTCAGGGCGGCACTACTAGTCCAACCTTTGAGACAAGGGTCTGAGAGACCAGCCAGAAGGAGTACAGACAAGGCAAGAACAAGAGCAAGCGGCACTACTAGTCCAGCCACTGGGAGAGGACACAAGTCCAGTCTGAGTATACATATAAAGGACAGTAGAAAGTCAAGGTCCTAGCAAGTGAGAGGCTACAGGAACTAGACCAAGCTGTACACAGTGCCGCTGATGATCTTTAGGCGCAAGCGCCTTCGTAAAGATATCAGCCGTGTTGGCACCTGAGGCCAAGTGTACTACGCGAGCCTGGCGGCGCTGCTGTAGCTCACGCAGGAGGAAGTACCGCAGCTGGATATGCTTCGCTCTGCCCTCGAGTCGAGGCTCCTGACACAGGAGGATCATGGCCCTGTTGTCAGCGTACAGGACCGGGGCAGAGCTAGGCCGCTCACCTAAGTCAGTGAGCAAGAAGGTCAGCCAGCGGAGCTCCTGAGCCGCCATGGCACCAGCGTAGATCTCAGCCTCACAGCTGGACTGCGCCACAGACGAGGAGCGGGTAGCTCTCCACGAGACGGCACCTGAGCCAAGGCTGAAGCAGTAGCCCTGGGTAGACCTAAGTGTCTCAGCGTCGTCTGCCCACGAAGCGTCTGTGTGTCCAGTAAGGACCACTGGCCTGCGTCCTCCTAGCACTAACCCCATGCCCGATGTACTAGCAAGATAACGCAGAACCCTCTTAGCGGCAGACCAGTGCTGCGGTCGGTGTCTGCCAGTGGCCACAAAACGAGCCAGGATGCTGAGAGGGTATGCGAGATCTGGGCGAGTGCAAGTCATCAGGTACATGAGGCAACCCACCAGCTCTGCGTAGGGGCCGCTGGGCTCTACCAACTCCTCAGACACTGGAGCGGAGAGCCTGTGGTCTACAGGCAGAGGGGTGGGCTGTGCAGAGGAGAACTGAAGGCGTAACCTCTGAAGGACCTGGCGCACCAAGTGTGACTGAGTCAGGGTGATGGTGCGCGCAGCTCTGTCCCTGGAGATCTGCAAGCCAAGGTAACGGCGCAGTTCTCCAAGGTCAGTGCAGGTGTGTCTCTTCAGCAGCTCTGCCTTCACGGAGGCCAGTGCGTCCCTGTCTGCTGTGGCAAAGACCAGGTCGTCGACGTAAACAAGGATGTAGAACGGAGTCTGGCCAGCACGAACGAAGAGGGAAGGGTCTGCGGAAGACGGAAAGAACTGCAGGTCAGCAAGCGTAGTACGGAGAGTGTCGTGCCACTCACGGGGAGCCTGGCGCAGGCCGTAGACAGGGCGCCGCAGGAGCCACTGGGTCCCAGGAGGGAAGGTGCCAGTAAAGCCCGGAGGGCGACGTAGGTAGACCTGCTCGTGTAGGCTGCCCTGAAGGAAGGCAGTGGAGAAGTCGAGGGAGTGAAGCTCGTAGTCACGCTGAGCAGCTAGGTGTAACAGAACCCGAAGAGTAGTCATCTTCGGGGTCGGAGCGAAGGTCTGGAAGAAGTCCCCCCCCTCGCGCTGACTGAAGCCTCTAGCCACGTAGCGCGCCTTGAACACAGGCGGCTCTCCAGGAGGGCGCTTCACCTTGAAGAGCCAGCGGCCATCGACTACGTTCACCCCAGGCGGGGGAACTGCGTCGACGAAGGTGCCGGTGGATCTCCAAGATGCCATCTCCTGCTCCATGGCAGCTATCCACTGCGAGGCCCAGGGTCCCGAGGTCGCCTCAGCGTAAGTGCGAGGGGTCGGGATGTCAAAAGCGTCAGGGTCACCCTCAGGGACTAGCAGCATGGAACAGAGATGGGGAGCAGCCTCGGACAGGAAAGCAAGCTCGAACTGGCGGTCCTCCAGGACGTCACTGCCAAGGGCAGGAGCACCCCCGACAGACAGAGGACAGGCAGGGTCAGAGACCAGAGCGGAGGCGTAGTCAAGGCGGCGGGAAGAGGCGAAGTCAGCGACAGCAGCAACAAGGGCGTCAAGGCACGAGGCCGGAACAGACGGGTCGGTAACGAGAGAGGCAAGGACGCGAGGGACAAGAGGACGAGCGGCACGAAGGCAGTCAGACAGCGGGGGGGGTGCAACAACAAGGTAGGAAGGAGGAGGCGACGGCAGAAGGGGAGGACGAGACGCGTGGGAACGAAGCAACATAGGGTGGGAGAGCAGGACAGGCGAGGCAGGACGAGCACGGGAGGGACGGTGAGACCAGACGTGCGACGGAGGAGTCGGGTCAGGAGACAGAGGAGGGGACACCGGAGGGGAACGAGGGGGGAGACGAGCTGGGGACGAGTCCGGCGGAGGGAAAACAGGGCCGTAGACAGGAAGAGGAGGAGACGGTCGGGGAGGAACCGACGCAGGGTCGGGGGACGGCAGGCCGAGCAGGCGAAGGGCTGACACCGGCGGGGACTGCTGCTGCGGCGGCACAACGGCGACACCGGGACCGCTAGCTGCTCCTCGGCTACCCCCGACACTCTCCACACCAGCACCCCCAGAGGGACCACCCCCAGGGCTACCGGGACTAGCACCCCCAGAGGCAGCGAACGGGTGTTGCGACGGCAGCGGCGGCGGCGGCGGCGACGGCAACGACGGCAGAAGCGGGGGAGGAGGGGACTGGGGAGGGGACGCCAGCGGAGGGGCGGCTGACGAGGACTGCACAGGAGGGCCACCAGAGTCAGAAGACTCCTCAACCGGGTCCACCGACGGAAGTGGGGTGACGTGGGACACACCAGAGGGGGCAGGACGGGGAGGAGGAGGAGGAGGGGCAGGGACTACCGGGGAAGGAGGGACCAGGAACAGGGGGGGAGTAACCGGGGGACCACGGTGGGGGAAGCGACGGTAGTAGGAGACGGACTCGTCAAATGTGACGTCACGAGAGTGAAAGAAGCGGTGAGACGGCGGGTGGTAAGAGTGCCAGTCAGACGCGTCAAGGGGAAAACCGAGGAAGACGCAGGGAAGGGTGCGGGCAGTGAGCTTGTCCGTGCCGGAGGCACGGACGTGAGCAAGACAGCCCCAGACGTGGAACGCAGACGCGTCACCAGGAGACCCAGTCCAAAGACGGGTCGGCGATACCTGCGGCTGCTGAGGGTGCGGCCACAGGTTAAGCTGGTGAGAAGCGTAGCGCACAGCGAACGGCCACAGAAAATGGGGTGCACCGGCATGGATCATGGAGGTGCGAGCCACCTCCATGACCAAACCGATGCGTCGCTCAGCGACCCCATTCTGCTGTGGGGAGTCCGGTAGGGTGAACGTCTGGGTGATGCCCTCCGCACGACAAAAGCGACCAAGGACACCTGAGGCAAACTCGCCACCACGGTCTGAGTGAAGACGCAAGACAGGGAGACCGCGGTGGACACGCGCAGAGACAAGCCAGGGGATGAGAGCGCCAGGCACGTCGGCCTTGCGCTCCAGGGGAAAGACTGTGGTGTAGCGAGTGAAGTCGTCGACAAGCACAAGGAAGTAGCGCTCTCGACGCGGCCCAGGGACAGGGGCGGGGCCCCATACGTCCAGGTGCAGGGTCTGCAACGGCGCGGCGGTAGGGGGAAACGAGGAGGAGTGAGGGGCACGGCGAAGCCGACCCTCGACACAAGGCGTGCAAGGTGGGGCTGGGGAGGAGGGAAACGCAGGGAGAGAACCTGGGAGACCAAGGACAAGACCGTGCTGGGACATGTGACGCAGACGCGGGAGCGCAGGGTGACCTAGGCGGTGGTGCCAAAGGAGGGTCGGGTGAGTGAGGGACCGACAGGAGCAGGCGGCAGCAACCTGGGTGAGCGCTCCAGCCAGGGGGGTCACGGTGTCCTGAGTGAACAGGCCGGACACCGGGTCCCGGGGGAACGTGGACAGGGGGGCACCAGTGGCGGCCTCGGTACAGACAGCATACCGCTCGTGACCAGGGAACGTAGTGGTGACGCCAAGGTCCTGGAGGCAGCCGACACCAACTAGGTTCCTGGAGAACGAGGGGATATGCAGACCTGTAAGAGAGCCCGAAGGAACCGCCGGACAGGGAAGGGTGGTGGAACTGCGGGCGACTACCGGACCGCCAGAGGAGTCAGCGAGAGAAACGGCAGCAGGGACGGGAAGCGGCGTCAGGGTGGTGGAGTCGCGGAAGAAGCACCGAGAAGCGCCAGAGTCCAAGGTGAAGGAAAGCGAAGCAGAGGCGTCTGGCGACGGAACGACGGCGGAAACACCAAGACTACACAAAGCAGAGGATCCTACGCCTGACGCAGCAGGGGAGGGTACACTAGGCACACCTACACTAGGCAACAGTGAGTAATAAGCGGGAAGCACACTAGAGTCATCAGCATACATCACATGCAGAGCAGAAACAATGGCATCCATGTCCATATCAAAGATCTGAATCTTACGACTAAGCAAACTGTGCCAGTCCGGGAGGTCTGGCGACGGGCCGAAGCGCTTACGAAAGAGGTCGTCCAGGCGACGAAAACAGCGGGGAGTGGAGTGACCGAGCTTACCGCAAACGAAGCCGCGGCGAGGACCGGTCTGGATCTGGTACTGACAGCGCCCGCCGCCAGAGCTACCACTCGACACACCACCACGCGCCCGGCCACCGCCAGCGCCGGGCCACCCGGGCGGGAGGACACTCGTCTGCCGCGGCTGCGACGGCTGCGGCGGCTGCTGCGACGGCTGCGACTGCGGCGACTGCTGCGGCTGCTGCAACTGCAGGGGCGGCGGCTCAGCTGGACTGGGCAGGGTCCCCTCGT